GAGGTAGATTGCCGGCAACAGCCATTTTAGGATAGTATATATTAGTGGCTTAGGACTCCTCTTGTTACGGAAGGAGACTCACACAGAGGATTAGAAAAATACAAGAGTTGTTTATTTTTCAGCAAAAGATGCAGATGGTACGGGCAGGTGAGTATTTGAGCTTAATATCAGATGAGGAGAGTAACACCGTATTTGGACTTCACAGGAGATCGTGGAAGGGAGACAGAGGACTGCACACACCTCATATGATGAGTACACGGAGTTTCCACAGAGCTAATGACTGGAACGGACTAGGGAATGGAACACAGGAGAACACACTGGAGGAAACACAGGAGGTAAGTATAACATGCAGGTAAGTCTTTCAATGTATCGCACGGATAGCATAGAGAGAGTCCACTTCATTGAAACGAGACCGGACACTGGAGTGAAGTGAGGTGTGTGCTTTTAAAGGGGAGCTGATGATGATTGCATATTTGTGACAGGTGCGTGTGATCAGTACTCAGGTGATGGTGTTCGCTGTGATTGGGAGGTGGCTGAGCCTGGCTAATCTGTGACACCTCTTCACTGCTCCTAATGTTTCACAGATTTAGGAGCTAGTTTTAGTGTTAAAATGCTTTGTGAAACGCTCTTAGAGCAAACATTTAGGAGTCCTAAATTTAGGACTGACACGCCCATTATTTTTAAGATTTTCTCCTAAATCGGCGAGTTATGAGCTACTTTTAGCCTTAAGATGTTTTGTGAATACAGGCCCAGATATTATTCTTATTATTATTTATGTTGAAAGGGATTGTGCTGCTTAATATTAATGTGGAAAACGTAATAAATTTTTTGTGATTCTTTGGTGAAATTAAAGTTCAATAGAACAGCATCTGAAATAGATTTTTTTTAGTCTTTGCTCTCACTTTTTCTTTTTTTAAGTTTTAATTGTCTATATATTAGGGCTGTCAGTTTAACGCGTTAACTTAATTAATTCGTTATGAAAAATAACATGATTAAAATATTTTAATGCAGTTAACGCACTGGCCACGCCCCACCCCCGCCCCCAGATCTGTATGTCATCTTACCTTACATACAGAGTTGACTGTTGACATATGATGCAGGGCAACAACTCCATAAATTCAGTTATGCCCTAAAATTCAAGATATTAGTGCAAAAAATGCCTCTGTGTGAGTTTTTGTCTCATATTATATCACATGATAAGCGATAGCCTATCACACGAGCAGGGAGAGCATATCACACAAGTGCTGTTTCTGTCCTTAATATCACAAGTTTAAATGTGATTTTATACAACAGTTCAGTAAATAAGAAGTTGATATTGTTATATTTTAAACACAGTATTATGTGAACGCAGATGAGCCAATGGCAGTCGAGTATCAGTTGCACAGGGAGCGGAATTCGGACATCTTTTTGGACAGGTTTCAGCGCCATAGAGAAACATGGGAAGATCCGAAGCTCGCATCGGTTTGATGGTGTTTATGCTACAAAAATGGAAAAATTATGTGCCTAGGGTACTTGTAACACTAATTCCAGTTATCCTGAGAGGATAGGCAATGTAATTTATTTTATTCCATTTCCTAAATCCAACCAAAACAGAGCAAAATGTCCCTAAGCATTCAACCCCAATCACAATGTAGACAAAAACGTTCATTTTCTGGTTGTCATACTCTCATTAAGTTATACTTTTCATTTACTCAAGCAGAACATTAATATTATCTTGTGCTTCAGCAAGGTATCTCTGGCTAAAACTAGCTAACGTTAGCGTTAAAGTTAGTGAGTCCATGCTAACTTACAAACCTAAATAGCGAACTGTTCTCACGTCATATACCGTGCAGTGAAAGTCAAAAACACATAAACGAAGGTCTATATTAGAGTGCCTCTCCATATTAATCTGGTTAAATGTAAATTAATTTAATCTTACTCTGCGGTATATGAATGGTGGTTTGTGAACGAAATGAATGAGAGTGTACCGGGTCAGTCGGCCATTAGCATGTCAATTTCGTTCAGCAATCAGCAGAAAGCGGATGCAAAACGCAGTTATAGGTACTGTGCACGCTTGTAAACATGCACAGACAAATCCAAATTAAACCCTGCGGCTCGTGACGACACATTGATGTCCTAAGACACGAAACGATCGGTTTGTGCGAGAAACCGAAGAGTATTTATATCATTTTTTACCTCTAATACAGCACTATGTCCAACTGTCTTTGGGCACGCGCACGGCTTCCGGTGCGTGAGGTGTGTTGGCAGATTTAGTTTCGTATTTAGAGTATCATTTCATAAAAAAAATTAAATTATTATTATTATTATTATTATTATTATAACATTAAAGGGATAGTTCACACAAAAAATGAAACTTCTGTCATTTACTCATCCTCTCGTTTCAAACCTCGAACACAAAAGAAGGTATTTTGAAGACTGTTGGCAACAAAGCTGTTTTGGTTACCAATCAATGACTTTTATTGTTTGAACAAGAAATACTGAGATGTTTCTCAAATTATCTTCTTTCATGTTCCATAGTTTATGTTTGGCCGTAGCCTACATTTTTATGTATAATAAATTTTGTTAAATCAAATAAAATATTTCTTTCTAAAGCTACAATTTGTAATGTCTGCTTGATACTTTCTCATTTAACACAAAAATAGTTTAAAGTCCTGATATCATACACAACTCACAGTGTCATAGTCTAATGATGACCAGATTGTGACAGAGTTTTACCATTAACAAGTCTGATTATTAACAATTGGCCTAACATGATTTGGCTGAGAATGTGAAACTTCTGAAACACTGTTTAAAGACATAACAGCAATCTGCTCAACCAAGTCAAAAATAATCGCCCTGCAAACCACTTGAGAGAATTAAATAATTGGGCTCTGAAGTGCCAATGGTCTAACGTGAATAAATGAAACGCGATCTAAGCTCTCTCAGATGACTGCTCGGTGTAAAGAGACCCTAATGGCAACTCAAGCACTGAAGCAGGAACATCGGTTCAAACTCTCAATGCATCCATTCAGTAGAACTGGATGTGCAACTGAAAATTTCCGGAAATTTGATCTAATCTCCAAAACTATGTCCATTACGTATAACAAGCAAGAAATCGGAAACAAAAGGAGTCATTTCATTATGACGGATGTACCATAAAGAAACGTTGTGTGAGTCAAAGTACACATAAGAGGAATAGATCTATTCAAAGAGACGAAGAAACTAATCTCCTACTAAAACTAAATGACAGGCTGAATGTTTGATGAGAAAACACAGAACAATCACAATAAGGAGAGCCCAAGGTCAGAGCAGGGCTCTCAGCAGGTAGGGCCGGACCGTGGCCCCATGCCAAGTCTCGGTCCGAGAAACAGGAGAAAATGTTCCTGAACGATACATGTGTCATATTTCTCAGCTCAATGCAACTTTCTTTCACAATGTTATCAGAGCCTCCTGCTCACCGAGGGACAAAGCTAGCGGAGGTACAGAGAGAGAAACTTTCTCACACCCTCAAACTGTGAGGAGAAAAGGATACGATTACACAAAAACTGTGATTACTAGGGAAAAGCACTGCCAGCACATACAAAAGAGGGAATACACAAGATCAGAGGTGGAAACAGATGAATGCATGCACTCAGAAAAAAAGGTACAAAAGTTGTCACTGGGGCGGTTTTCAAAAAGCACACCTTTGTACCTAAAGAGTCTATATTGGTACCATAAAGGTACATATTAGTACCTAAAGTGTACATATTAGTGCCTAAAAGGTACAAAAGTGCCAGGTACCAGGTAAAGGTGCCAGGTACCAGGTAAAGGTACCACCCCAGTGACAGCTTTTGTACCTTTTTTTTCTGAGTGTGCTATACTCAAACCATTGAGCATGTCTCAAGAGACTCCAGCTCTTATGAGGCAATTTGTGAGGTGAACACATTATGTTAGGGTTGGTATAACAGATAAACACGAAGAACAGAGATCTGCTGCGAAGTAGCTACACTTAAAAAATTATTTCAGAAATTATTGGATAAGATTTTACAAGAAAATACTATTTCAGTCTTTCTACTTAAAAATGTGATGTTTAACTGAATGTGTTACTTGTCAATTCTTTGTAATCATCTGTGAAACATACTAGGGAAATTTTTTTAAAGTAAATCCTACAACAATTTTTTTTCGGTACTGCACATGCAGTCTTTTTTTCAAAAACGCGCACAAGTGCAAAATGTTGCTGTTGAAAGATTTATGTGAATACTTTCAATTACACACTATCCAAAATCCGATTTCTGAAATATTAAAGAGTAAATGTGAATGTCAGCACTGAATTTGATTTGGTGCTGAGTGTAATGCAGCTGAAGAGAAGCAGCAGAACAGCCCTTGGCTCTGTTGTATAACCAGCTGACAACTCGATGAGTGAGTGGGCAGAGTATAGTGTGCCTCTTTTACCACCCACTCACACACACACACACACACACTTCAGAGGGCCACACTGAATACATTTTCACAACCTGGACTGGATCATCTTTCCTTTCCAGATTAAATGATCTATCTACCAACCTATATGCATCTTCACTCTTTGATCTTTGTAGTGAAGTGCTCTGACACTGTCAGTTGTCCTACATGCAATTCTGGGGTGATTTTTTTCCTTTCTAGGAAATCTAAAGACATTTATTTAAAAAAGTATTTCTCCACATTTCCTTTAACTTATATGTTAGATTCCAGCGTCTGACAATTTGTAAACTGCAGTGGACAAAGGTCGGTGACACATCTGTGACAAATGTGACAGTCGGAGCAGCTCAAGGAATATTACTGGATGCGGCGAGAAAAATAACTAAAGAAACGCTTGAAATATGCGTCACGTGACTCTAATAGGCTCCAGCACACCTCTAGTTCAACTCTCGCCGGGGATAATCTTTCCTAATGATCCCAGTAAACTGAGCAACATGTCCCAAACTCAAGTGCGATGTTTTCAGGACACACATAATGTGTGTTTGGCCCATAAACAGCTAGCTGGAGAAAAGACACGTCCCTCTTACCTTTTTCATGGATTTGTGGGTCGGGACCGCAGTGAATGCGGCGGACAGCTCGCCGACGTTCATGTTCACGTCGCTGTTCTTCGTGCCTGTCATCGCGGAGTATTTCTCTGCAACGTTTTCGCTCTCTTTAAACTCTTTGCTGGCCTGTTTCACCTCCAGCTTCGCATCCCCGCCACAGTCTGTCATGGCAATCTATATCTACGCGCTTTCCGAGCCGTTGCCGGTGGTTTTACGCGATAGTCCTTCAGCTCTGTTACTGTAACCTTTCGATTCGTTCTTATGTTGCTGGAGCGCTTCAAAAGCTCCGACTGCCTCAAAAGCGGAAGGGGTGATTGCGCAAAAACGTCTGCAGGAGAGGAACAAACTGTCGAATGCGGATAGAAAACGGATGCTAGTTTATAAGAATGTAATATCACTCAAGCCGCAGTGGACCACAAATTATTATATTTGACTGTCCGGTTGACGGCCAGCAGCAGCATCACCGGTGGGCGGGGCTTAAAGGCAAGCACCTGCTCTCAGAGGAAGTTGCACGAGAACTGTTTTAACGATGCATATACCGTAATCTGTCACTTTTAAGACCTTATTTTAAACAGTTCTTGACGAAAACAACTAATATTTACGATATTATGTTGACTTTGAGAGGTTAACCTCGAGAAAATACATTAAAATTTGTATATAACATTACCTGTCCGAGTTGAATATATTTTGAGAAATGTATTCCTCTTAAAACTTACTCAGAATGATAACGGAAAACCAATACGAATAGAATGACCTGCATATTATGGGATTTAAATTGACAAAAAAAACTGATATAATTTACTCAACCCTCATGTTTTTTCGAGACTTACTTTCTTCTGTGGGACACAAAAGGTTGCATCTTTTCCTTACGATGAAAGCAAACGGTGAGTGCAGGGAACATCTCTTTTTGTAATCCACTAAAGAAAGTCATACAAATCTGAAACAGCACAAAGATTAGTAAATGATGATAGCTTTGTCATTTGTGTGTAAAATATCCCTTTAAGTCCCGTATTATGCAGTCTTCTGGTTCCAATTTGCATTTAAGGGAGAACTGTCGCTTTAAAACTGTGCTTCTTAACCTTTTGCCCCTCCTTTTCCAAGATAGTATTCCTCTTACCTAAGCTATGTAACTCTCGTTTATTTGTTGTAAAAAATATATATTATTTCTCAGCAATGTTTATATATATATATACAAATAAATAATTGTAAGAATTACTGGGCCCCAGCCCCATAGTTGAGAGCCACTGCTTTGAAATATCTGATTTCAATCGCAGCTAAGTAGATTAAAACACTGAACTGTTTGAATTAGGATCATTTACATCCTTCTTGTGCTCACACAGATTATAATAATAAAGACAAGTTCACAAAGCATGATCTTTCACAATGCGTTTCACACACAATTTTTATCAAAATACAGGTTAGACGACTTCAATATCCAACATAACTCAAAAGAGTATTTGCATTTCCATGTAGGAACTAGATGAGCCAGGAAGACTGACTCGATACACAAACCTCACTCAAATTACAAATGACTATTGTATCAAAACACTAATGTAAAATGACTTCATGTTATGGGTGAAACCTGTATAAAAACTTATAGAAACAAGAACACATTATACGCCCGATGTTTCCTTGGTGATGAGGGCTCATTTCTGAAAAATCTTGCCCTTTTCGTCTGTATTGTTGTTCCCAATGCTCTTTTCCTAATGCCAAACATCTACAATATGCTGAACAACACCACAATTAGATTGTAAGAGATAAACCTACGTCATTTCCATGTAACTTCCCACTTATAAGTTCATAAACCTGACAAGAACTGTCCATAATGCTAAAAAAGTAGAAAATCAAACAGCTCGCCTTGGTCTTCACTCAATTCATTGCCAAAATTCTTGTTTGTTCTACTGCCACCTCATTACTAACTGCGTTTTCTCTCTCTCTCTGTGGGTTAATTTACGCTTTGCTATTTAATTGCTTTTTAAACCGCAAGCTGAATTCATTACGCTGTACATTAACAGTAATGGCTCTATGTGTGTCCTCTGGAGAAATACAAGACCACAGAGAGAAAACAGATGGGCCCCTCATTTTAGTGGAAGACATGAGACAGGAGGAACACAGGCCATGATGAATTAGGACTGAGTGTTAGTGTTGCGTTGGAGACAGTGATTCACAATGGTGAAAATTTGGGCCTTCAGAGTCACTTTAAAAAACACAGTAGAAGTTCTAGTGCTATGACACCCGGATCATCTGGGCCACGGCCTCGTCTCCGGTCTGGTTCTGGTCCTGTTGCTCCTGCAGGGGAATGGAAGAGGAAGAGGGTCAATCATTACCTTCACGCCTAATTCAGATATGCTTCACTCAGTACCTCTAAACACATTTCACACACAAGCGTTTTCACTAGGGTTGGGACACCATGATTTATAGCATCAAGAAAAGCACTGAATAACCAAGAGAAAACAGTGAAAGGTTTATGTTTAGCAAGCGGTCACCTCATGGATTTCCGAGAAGGGCAGCTATTTAGACTTCTGTTCTATAAAACTGTTTAACGTTAAATAAAATAAAAATGACTTGACAAGACTTGATGAACAGGAATATGCATCACAATACAGTTTACACTATGGTTCAAAAGTTTTAATGTTTTTGAAAGTGTCTTGTGCTCATCAAGGCTGCATTTATTTGATCAAAACTATGATATATTAAATACAATGAAATATTATAATTCAGAATAAGTGTTTTATATTTTAATTTCATTTATTCCTGTGATCGCAAAACTGAATTTCAGCAGCCATTATTCCAGTCTTCAGTGTCATGTGATCTCATTCTAATATGTTGATTTGGTGATCAAGAAACATTTCTTGTAATTATCAAAGTTTAAAAAGTTGTGCTGCTTAATATATTTGAGGGACTGATACATTTATTCAGGATTCTTTGATGAATAAAGTTCAAAAGAACAGCATTTATGTGAAGTAGAATTTGTAACATTTACTGACACAAAGAAAGATAATCTTACTGATCCTAAACTTTTGAACAGTAGTGTAATTTGGTTACAAAGTGTTATTTTTTGCTAGTGAACCTTTTGGAAGTTATTTTATTCAGAATGTTTATTCAGAATAAAAATCACAACATGTGACAAAAATGAACACTGCATAGGCATGAAATCCAAGCACAAGGACAGAACCAGATCCAATCCAAACAAAAAACAACAACAACAGAAATGCTTCCTCAAATGAAATGTAGAAAACAACAGAAAAACATATATATATATTCAAACAATGTTTCTTTTTTTTAAACTGGTCCCTCAAAAATTCATTTTCATATTTTTTATGCAGTGATTTCATAATTGAAACTGACACAGTTTGTCAATGACAAGCATTCATGCTTTCTTAAACCGCCATCCTGTTAATAATAATAATAGTGTTTGGATCAAACAGACAATCACGTGATAAAGTCAGTCACATCGAATTAGAAATTCTCAGTCTTGAAGAGCTGCACCAACAGAATGCAGGACATATCAGTGTTTTCATCCTGATTATGTCATGACAGTGAAGAGATTATCTTTTTCTGTTAAATATGGCAGAAATGGAAATCCAAGTTCAGATAGACAAATCATAAAATACCACACAGCAGATTTAGCAGATCATGCAGTCTGTACGCACGAATGCTTAACTAGCAATGAGACATGATGGGACAGACTCAAGCAGCCAACAAGCACTGGAAAAAGCAGGAGGTGATGCGTGCAAGAGCAGCCAATGACAGCATGTCACACAAAGAAAGGAGCGAGAATTAATCTGCTAAGGAGCTCAATGAGAGCAGAGATGAGCGTCTACGCGAGGGGCGAAGTGTGTTCGGCCAGCCAATGCGCACTTGTGAGTTCGGTGGCATTGCGTAGGTCTTCCTGCTTGACATGGCCCTGCGCTCTCACCTGCATGGCCAAGGCCATTTCTTCTTTCTCTTTAGGTGAAAAGAACCGTCCCCCATCGCCACGCTTCCGCTGCATGGCGTGTTTGTGCCGTGACTCGTGAAGATATTTCTGTAGGAGAGAATAAGGAATCAGCCTGGATATGAGGCATAGTTCATGTCAAAATGCCTGTTTTGGCATTCAGAGGAAGACTCACCCTTCTTTCTTTAGGGATCTTGCCCTCTGCCTCTAACTTGGCACGAGCTTGGCGTCTCTTTAAGATACGATGATATTGCTTGGCGTTAACATACAGCGGCTCCTCTTCGAGCATCTCGGCCCCTGGCAGAGGGATTCGTTGGATGGCTGGCACAGCACCACTACCAGGCACCATCTGGCAGAGCGGGCAAGAAAGGGGCACATAGAATTAAATTCAGTCTGCTGTCCAACACCCAAAAATCTATTTGCAAATGTAACAACTTCAATCAAACAAATCAAATCAAATTATTAGCAATCCAGTGGTCAGTCAGGTGACAGCTAATGTAATATGGACTGAAATATGACACACTAGTGTAAGAAAAGGACACCCACAGAACAGCTGAGTGCATCATTTGTGAAGAGATGATAGGCAGACATCAGCCTTACACTTGAATCAGTGCTAAAGATTAACACAAGGAGGATGGAGGTCACCACTTTCCACTTGCTTCTGAGTAAATCATCAAATTCTAGTAAGATTCCTCAAACTAGGATTTTTTTAAGACACTGAATACTATTATATATTAAAATAATAGTTTCCATATATATTCTCTGTCATTATTTACACCCTCATGTTATTCCAAACCTGTATGACTTTATTTCATTAGACACACACACACAAAAAATAATCCTAGTCACTTTCTTCATGTAATGAAAGTGAAATCAGGGATCTAGGGTGACAAATGACAGAAAGCACCATTCACCATTAATGTCATACAAGTGGCCAGTTTGAATTCATATTTGAAAATATGGCATGATATTTAAATTCAAATAATCTTTTTAAGTCATAAAATAGCTTTTTGAGATCATGTAAATCACTAATAAACTTCCCCTCCTCTGTACCTCTCATATCTCATTCCCACTTCTGCATATTCAAACTTGCCACAGCATCATCAGTTAATCTGAAACAAAATCATCTATGATGACTGTTCAAATCAAATTGATATCATTTTATCTAAAGGTGTCAGTTTTGAGTTTGAGTGAATTACTTAAATTTTTTTATACTCTTATGGTACTTTTTTGTAATTTTAAAACTTGACAGACAAGATCCCAGATCGTTTTCTTTGTAACTTTGTAATTGTAACTGCAATAAATTAAAATAGAAAATATCAGATTATATACAGTATATATATAGAGAGAGAGAGAGAGAGAGAAAATTACTTAAACATTTGGAAAAACATTTGGGTGAACAATTCCTTTAAGGTAAAATCACCTGTATTTCTGCACGTGAAAAGGCAAGCCCAAAACCAAGGTGATTGAGACTTAACACTGCATGCACACCCCCACACCTCTGATGATTAATTAAGGGGATGGTTTAAGTTTGTTAGATA